CCTCGGGGCTCCGCCCTCGGACTCCAGCCAGGAGACTCTCTGGCCCAGTCGCCGCGGACCGGACCGTCCCCAGACGTTCCCGGGCCGAGCCCCTTCTGTCTCGCCCTCATGGCCCAGCCTCTGCTGCTGGTTCTCTGGCTGGCTCTGGGTGTGGCCCCCGGCGGCGTGGTCAGTGTGGCCCCTGCCGGAACCAGCGAGCCCCCTACCGCGCAGACGGTGGCACCCACGGAGGCCGAGACCCTGCAGAACGAGGCAGACAACCAGGAAAACGTCTTGTCTCAGGTAGGCGCCGCCTGGCCACCTGCCTGCTGCACCAGGTGGGCCAAGGCCAGGAGGGCACTTGTCTCTCATCCATCGAGTGTCTCCTTAGGGGAAGGGGCGTGGGTCCTCCTCTCGAAGTCGGGGTCTTTCAGGCGATGGGACCAGGAGAAGAGGAGGGAGGGGAGGAATGAGACCCTGGCTCAGGGCTGGGAGGAGACCCTCTGGTCTGTGCGGCTGTTTGTGGGAACCGGAACGTGACCCGGCGCGTGCTGGGCAGCGGCGGATGGCGGGACCCCTGGGAGATGTTCCGCCACAGGAGTGAGAGGCCGGAGAAGATGGGGTGAATGTGGGCAGTAAAGGACTGTCCTTGTTTCAGGGCTCAGTCCTCACGCCCTATTCCCAGTTTTCAGCTGAGGACCATCAGGCGACGGTTAGAGCGGGGGGCGGGGGCGGGGGGGCAGACCCCTCTCCTCTCGGGGCTCTCGGGGCTGTTTATTCCATGACCCATGGCGGAAGGACCCCGAGCTGCTAGCTGCCCGCACTCCACAAGCCTGCACTGGCTCTCAGCGAACACGGTCCCCGGGCCTTCCCTTCGTAGCTATGCTAACATACGCCTCGTACCCACCCAGCCTCACTCGGACCCCGACATTAAAAAGACAAAAGTGCCTGACACCGGGGTCCTGGGGGCCACGGGCAAAGCTTCCTGAGAGCCGAGCCTCGGGAGGGAGGGCTGCAGGGGTCTCCGTGCGGTCAGGGCGGGAGCGGAGGGCAGGCGGTGATTGGCCGTCAGCCCAGCCGCTCAGTCACCTTGAACTACGACGCCTTCGTCCGCTGGGTTTGATCACAGCCCTGAAAAAATTAGCGTTAGAAGAAACCCACCCTTTGCAGGAAAAACATGACAGCCTGTTCCCGCCAGCAGCCAGGAAGGCTCCCCCACAAGCTCATGGCCTGCCGAAGGGAGCCCCTCTCGGTGCCCAGAAGGGAGCCTGGTGCTGGGGTGCAGGGCCTGCTGGAGAGCAGCTGGGAGAAGCTGTTCCCCCGCAGGGGGCTCCAGAGGCGGCCTGTGAGCTGGCAGACTGAGGAGGAGCGGAGAGGCTGCCAGTGCGCGCTGAGCTTTGCCTGGACTCCGGGTCCAGAAGCTGCTCTAGGAGCCAACTCAATCCTTAAACGGAGGAGTCCTTACCAGTTTCTCCCCGTTCCCTTTCTCCAAATCTAACCCGTGCTTCGAAGCCCAGCGCAAACACCCCCTCCTCGACGTCTTCCTGGTGCACTGTGGGCTGTGGCCCTGGGCGAGCCACCCCCCACCCCTCGCTGGGCGCTGGGTGCG